GAATTCACTTTCTGAGTCATCGGCTGCTAACCACTCACGTATCTCTTCTTAGTTAATTTCGTCACATTTCCGCAAATTGTTTATTAAAGGTTTAATTTCTTCTGTCGTTTCTCCACCATTTTCTTCTTTAGGATCGTCAATCAAAATCCTATCAAAAAGTTAGTTCCAGCATTTTTCCAAAGTTGAAGATTTGATCTTGGCCCAGAACTCAGCACACCGATAAACAACATGTTTCATAGTTGAACATTTGAGGATTTCATGAACACTTTTGGATTCATTTGTCTCCTGTAATAACAAATTAGGATGCTCCTCTATAATGTCTCTCGAATGTCTCTATTACTCCCTAGTCTAACAGCTGAATTAAGCTCGTGGCATTCGGTGGCAAAAATCTGACAATTATCACTATTGTATAGATTTTGAGTCAACAAGCAACAATGCTTTGATGGGAAGGTTTTTTTTATTTCAAAAAGGATTTTACGCTTGGGGCGAATTCATTTTCGAACCATTCTGAAAATAAAGTGATCGACATTCATGAGCTTTTTTGGCTTCTATAAAAAACTGGAAGTGCTTTTTCTCAAATATCTTTTAGAGCTCTTGGTTTTTTTGATTTCCCAACACACATAGGCATCAATCGGTGAGTGAAATTAATGGAATTTACGTTTTGCGATAAAAATTTACTTTTTATTGACGAAATTATTGAAACTCTCAGCCGTTTAGGTTAAACGATGTTTCGGTTAAAAAGGTTTCGGTTAAGGGAGGTTTTACTGTATAAATTAATTAGTCAAAGTAAAATAAAATATTTACGCACTCACTTTAACAGGTAGATGACATTCGTAGAGAACGTCTGATACTGCGAAAACAGGTGCATTTGGGATGACCATTTTCTAATCGCCAAACCAGCCATCGTCTTCTGACAGAATATAGCGATAAAGAATGACAAAGGGCAGATACCGTATGGAACCTGAAATTGGCGTGTGAAATGAATTGCTAGTGGGACTCTATAAATACACAAAAAAACGGATCTCTTAATATTGCAATTAATTAAAAACGGATAATAATCAACTTTGCACATGTGTGAGTACAGGAAACTTTAAACAACGTAAATATCAACGTCTGAAAGCATATTGCTCAGAGATTAAAAGCGGACTGAACCAAGGTTGTATTATTTCTTTTTAGAGTTAGCCCTAAGCTAATTAATTTTTGGGGAGGGGAAGAGTAGTTTTGTTCAAAATATTTGATCCCTTGAAAAAACAACACTTTAACTAAATTAGGCCAAAACCAATGAAATTTTGAGAGTGATTATGTAAAATCGCTCTCAAGTGGGCTAAATTAAGAGGGAACCGTGCAAGTGTGCATTGAAAATTGAATACTCATTAACCCTAAACATAATTTATTACGAAAAGAGATTTTCTAACTACATACACTATACATATTCGAAGCGATAAAATTAATAATCTCTATACAGAGTTATTTTAACTGAAAATACAGTCTCGTCAAAAGTTTTAAATTCAAGAGTATTTAACATGCCACAATTCTAAAATCACCTTACTCTATAAGGGTCTTAAGGGTTTTAATGCCCTTCGATCTGCTTCGGTTATTTTACTTTTTCCTACATTTCTAGATTTTGTGACTACCGAACCTCTAGTTTTGTCTATTCTGGCCATATTTCTTATATTATACCGTGGTAATTTAAAATATTCGCGATTTCCAAATTGGATTTGCCAGAACTAAAAAATCTAATGATAATTGAAGAAATTTTCTCATCGATAACTTTATCTAGACTTATTTTAAAACTCACAAACGGCAATATGCTTTAAAATATCACAAAATACATTTGAAATGAATTGACAATTGTTTTGATGTCATTTTTCCATAGATACCACTGGTTTTAAGGTAATTATGAAAAACTCAACGAATGTTGATAAATAAAAATCCATAAGAGTAATGTTTTTAAAAAATATTGATAAAAATGTCATTTTGATTAATGTGGGAACTTATAAAGATTATGATTTGTTTATGTTATGTGTGTTATGGTGTGTTATGGTGCGTGTTTATGTGTTATGGTGGCAAACGAAGCAATTTTATCCCACAACCATTGTCTATTTCATCAGTCAACATTTTTTTTAATTGTAACTTGTGATATGAACCTACTTTTAAACGTTCATTTTTCAGCATATTATCTCCATTTTATATCTTTTTCAACAACCAATTTCTAGTATTATATTTTTCGAAGTTTATCGAAGATTCTCTGTTGTTTGCGAATGTGACGTCTGCAACCATTACATTACAGGATTTGTATAAATATTCATCTGCAGTTATTTCCTTATGACATTCATCGGTTGATGTCGACTGAAACTCTAGCGAACCACCTTCAATGAAACCTTTTTCGCTTCCAATACGTGATATTATTAGCCGGTGGCCTTTGAGAACAAGAAATTTTAGTCCAGTACATAAGTAGGCAACATGCACAATATATTTAACGCAATAGTCTTCGTTTGTATATCAAATACATCTTTACATTTTACCGGGGTAAACGTTGACATCATTTTTTTACCGCATATAACTAATATAAGTAAACTAAATTTATATTTGGGTAGTTTGAACTATTTGTGCGAAGTGCGATTATAAAAGTTTCGAAAATTACTAAGCCAATACCCAAGTTACGAATTGTGTTGTTTGCTACATTTTTAGTACGAGTATACTTATGTTTTACATCGAGTGGGCATCACTTTCATTTAGATTTTTAATATACGAGAGCGGTCCGATGATTACTTAGCGTACAAAAGAAAAATAAAAATTTTGGAAAAATGGCGATTTATTTTTTGACATAGTCTTCTTTTAGCTCAATACACTTGACCGAACAATGCTACAACTTATTTAACCCGTCTGAAAAATACGTTTTTTTCGAAATCTGAAAAGTAGGCCCTAGTGGCAACGAGGACCTCATTCGACTCAAATTTCTGCCCGGCGAGTGAGCTTTTTAACTTTGAAAACAGAAAGGAGTCGCAAAGGGACAAATCTGGAAAATACTGTGGACGGGGCAGCTGTTCATAGTCTAATTTGACCATGGTGACGGCGGAGGGGTGAGCTTGGTAGAGCACTTTTTTCAAATAGGGCAGTCTTTTCTGCAATTGTGCGTCGAATTGGCCAAATAATTTAGCATATTACACCCTGTGACCGTTTTGCCCTCTCCAGGTAGTCGATGTAGATCGTACCACCTTTTGAGTCCCAGAAAACAGTGGACATCATCTTTCCGGCTGATAGGAGAGTCTTCGCCTTCTTAGGAGTACATTCGCCGGGTAAACTCTACTGTTTAGGCTATTCTTTGGTGTCTGTTATGCACCAGTGGATCCATGTTTTGTCGACGGTGACGAAACGACGTAGAAAGTTCTTCGGATCCAGAAGCAGCGTCACACTGTTTTTAAGTGGTCTCACGGTTGCGTTTTTTGTCCTCAGTGAGCAAACGCAGCACCCATCGTGCCGACAGCTTTGTTACGCCCAAATTGTCATGCAGGATGTTACCCACGCTGTCTGTTGCGTGGGCGTATTTGATTTATTTAAAGTTATATTTTCTTGAGAAAACATCGTATTATCATTACGAATGTTCCTAGATATTAGATATCTGATTTTACGAAGGTTTCAGAGAAATATTAAATTCACTTTTTGACATGTACTACTTCCGGTTCTTCTTGAACCATAACATTTTTTCACCAGAGCTACACTTCTTCTTCTTTCTTCTTCAAGTGCCGTCTTCGTTCCGAAGTTTGGCTATCATCAAAGCTATGCGTATTTTTGATGCTGCAGATCTAAACAGTTGGTAATTGGTGCAATTGTACCATTCTCTCAAGTTTTTCAACCATGAAGAGCTTCACTTATCAGTGCTAATTTCAGAATATGAATCAGAAGAGATATTTAAATATTGTAAATCATTTTCCAAATATAATTCATTTAGTAACTCATCTTCAGTCACTTCGATTAGTTTGAAAGGCAAATTTTTTTGCGATTCAGGATTGGAAAAATCATTTTCCAAATATAATTCATTTAGTCACATCTTCAGTCACATCGATTAATTTGAAAGACAAATCAAGTCTATTTTTGCGATTCATTTTCAGTATCTACAAATAAAAAAAGTCAAAAAGTGGGGCGGTAGTACCAATTTTGAATATCAATAAAAATCTTTGTAATTCATTACAACACATATAAACAGATAAAAACAACATTTATTAAATTAAAATTGACGGTATATCTGTCATCTTTGGGTGACAATACTTAATAAGAATCTACTAATGCCGTGGTTTTCACACAATTACTAATGCTGTGGAAGCAGTAGTTAATTTCAATAAAACTCAAAATTTTATAACTGGTATTAAGGGTACTGCTTATGATAGTCTTTTATTTCTTTGCCACAATTTATATGCCTTACATAATCCGGGACTAACAAATTCGTCGAACGCTGAGAAGTCTTCTTATCAGTCGCATCGCCTTGTTTCTGACGTTTCGTTAGTTGGTCTGTATCTCTTAGGATTCAAATCTAGATGTATATTCTCATTCTGGCTAGTTTTATCCGTTAATAAACATGTATCCTATTCTTCTATTTCAAGTCGTTACTTTCAGAGTCGCTCCTTTGTGTTTATATAAGTACGTTAATATTGCATACAGTGACCAAGCTCAGCTGATCGACGCCTTACACATATTGGTGATAGTTGTTAAGGAAACTTTGACATGGTAATATCAATGTACCTATGTTTATATCCGGGCTAGCCAGGTTGGCTGGATTTCCTTGTAACTACATTATATATGCCTATATGATTTACTGATTATAAAACAGTTTTCCTACTTCCAGTGTATAAGTTGAAACTAAAGATTTATAATTTATTATAATTCTATTCTTAAGAATAATTGTTAAAAATTCAGATTCAACAAAGACTCAGAAATAATAAAATAGTATTTTTAAAATTCAATTAAAATAATAAATTTCATCATTGATTTTTTTGTTACAGATATTATGGCCAAGAAAAAGAATATAATGTCCTTGTTATGGACCTGCTCGGTCCGTCGCTGGAAGACCTCTTCAATTTTTGTACCCGCAGATTCACCATTAAAACCGTACTCATGTTGGCAGATCAAATGATCACTCGTATAGAATTTGTCCATTGCAAATCATTCATACATCGTGATATAAAGCCGGATAACTTCCTCATGGGCATCGGCCGTCACTGCAACAAATTATTCTTGATCGATTTTGGACTGGCTAAGAAATTTAGAGACACCAGAACTAGAATGCATATAATATACCGTGAAGATAAAAATTTAACTGGTAAGTACACATTTAAGCAAATGTATTAAAAAATTTTATGTGTAACTAATAACAATGACATGGTTGTGTTTGCTTTTTGCATGGTAATATACCACCAAAGCCCGAGTGTTTGATGTTTTCTAGGTTGTTCGTTCGAATGACATCAGTAGTAGAAAGAACAATAGGTATCGTCTGTTGTCAGTTGTTTATCTAGTTAGGTTATAAACTAATATGATATCCAGTCTATTATGTTCCACTAGTTGATTCGTGAGCATCGTAAAATTTCCAATAGAGCTTGTAGTTTTAATTTTCAAGCATACTGTCGAAAGATATGTTATGTGATAAAGTTTTTGTTTTAATGTGTCCAGGCAGTGTTGAGTTGTGTTTGTTCTGGATCATCTTGTCTCTTTGAGTGTCCAGCATTATTTCTTCAGTTCTTTTGATTACTTTTCGACTTCTTACTCCTCGGATGTATTCCGTAATTTATTCAATATCCCTACTCAATAATTCTATTTTCCTCCGCAGTCGTTTTTACAGGGCGCAATTTTGCGTCCAGTCCTTCGTGATTATTATTAATATTTCTGTCCACACATTCCATCCCCTTTATTTTTTTACTTACGTATAACCCTGAAAAGATTTCGGATAATTTTTTATTTTAATTGATCACATATCTTTTAGGTTTACCTTTAAGTTTGTCTTTGAAAAAAAAAGCGCGTGGAAAATGGTTTAAAAATAATTGCTAGTCTGGAAATTTTTTGATTTATTGCCAAGAATTTCAAGAGCAAAACAATCAATTCATTTTTACCGTGTACTTAAATTGGTTTTCGTTATTTTAGAATTTATAAAATACTGTAGACTTTACTGGTTTTCGTCTTAGTCGGACTTAATTAGCAACAATTAATTGTGTAAACAACTTTTAATGTTCTTTTTCACTAAATCTATTTTGTTTAGTTGTCTGAATGAAATCAATTGTTTTGTCATGGAATACGCTGGTCAATATTTTAGACTTCCTTGCCCCTTTTCTGTTGACCTTTATTCTATATTAATTTATGTAATTATTACTTTTCGTGTTTCGATTTCCAATCCTGATGTTTATCCATTCGTACTTTGTACAGTAAAGTATCACAATAATATTGTAGCGAGTGCCTCATGTTTTAACTCATTCGCGACCAACCTATTTTTATGTTTGATCACTTCCTCTCCACACTGAAGGTACGCCATTCTTTTCTTTGACATGTTTCTATTTTTATTCAACAACCAGTTGGCATTCCACATGCAAATATGTACTAAGTGAAAGAAAACTTTCATGTACCATCTCAAAGTTTTTCGTGATGTGTCATAATCTGTCATCTGGTCAATTCTGTCAATTCACAACATAGAGGAATAGTAGTCACGTATCATTACTGGCTTCAATCTTTTCTGGCCTCTACGATTTTCAACTTCAACCATTTCGGAACAATGCTTGGATGAAATCATTATTACATTTCTCTTATCTTTCCATTTTAATACTCTGATTGGACATCTTCTTTTCCATACGACTTCTCCTTTCTTATTTTTTTTTTGCAATAACACTCTTTGGGTTACTTTTTCTATTTTTTCTTAATGTTGCACAAACGTAGGTATTCTTTTCGTGTAAAAACTTGGCAAGCTCATAACTGTTGTAATAATTGTCCATGTGTATAGTGTGTCCCTTCTCTAAATATTCAGTAACAAACCTGTTAACTACTTCAAACGCATGCCCATTTTCATTTACTACTGCCCCTTTGCCTCTGTAGATTAGGAAATTTAGTAAAAATTCATCAGAGCTAGTAATCTCATAAATTTTTATTCCATATTTAGTTTTTTTTCGGCATATACTGTCGGAATATTAAACGCCCTCTCTACAGTAAAAGGGCTTCGTCAAGACTTAAGTTCTCTCCTGGATAATAAACTTTGGAGATAATATTTATAATATGACTCATAACGTTTTATATTTTGTGAAGTCGATCTTGAACTTCTACGTCTTCCGACTCATAAAAATAAATGTTCTGAAGAATAGCTTCAAACTTTGATCTGGGCATAGTTTTTTCAAATATTGAAAAGTAATATAGTGGATCTGTGCTCCAGTATAAAGGTAAGGAGGAAAGTTTTTTTTAAGTCTTCAATATTTATATCTATCCAGCGTCTTAAAATGGAATATTTTTTAATTTAGGATTTTCTTTACGTGAAGCAGCGCTGTGTATCCTCAGTCTCTCTTCCAGAATGAGAGGAGAATATTCACTTCCACTAGAATTAAATATTTCATCATTATGGTCACCATTTTCGGTATCTCTGTACTCACTAACTTCCCTATTAGCCATCTCGGCCTCTAATTGAAGATCTCGTGTACTTAGATGTCGTTTTGACATGTTAATATGTCTGAAACAAAAAAAAAAGGGATTAATAAACTGTGTATAAATAAGTTACATAGTTATATTACCTGTCTACATTGTACACAATAACGACACTTTTGGCATTTGACGTTTGCAGCCATAGAGTGTGAAAGAAGGATTGTTCAGGGGGGACTGTGGCCAAATTTAGACCCACATGTGTGTCAGCAGTTCTTACGAAAACTTCACATGTGTGACGGTTGGTCGTGAATGTATTAATGGTTTTTTATAGCCCAGTAAAATTCGACGCTTACCCTTAAAAAAATAGTTTTGTTCCGACAAAAGGAGAAAATTTAATTATTAGGTAGATACTTAATAAACAAATTAGTGGATTATTGCAGAATATGTTTATTCTCTTCTCTTCTAAATGCAAGGTTTTATCAAAGAGTCCTCCCTTTCCAACATGACTGTATAATTAACTAGCTCATGAAAAATAATTACTATACGTCGGTATTTTTTTCTGTTAGTTAATATTTATATAATTTAACACCCGCATTATCCTACAAATTGCGTACACTATCCTGGTCCTATGGACATTTGTCCAAAAAATGGCTTTCTTGAAGTCTTAAGTGGATTGTCCACTGTCAGTGAAGAAAAGCTTTTTGTACCAGTTAATGAGATTTTCTGGCACATTCAACAAAGCTTATTTGCTTGTCTGCTTTATCTATAGCCCCCATTTTGTTATCATATTCTACTACACACAGTTTTACAATTTTTTCTCCAGTACGAAAATGCTTTTTGTCAGTATCTTTTGGTTCAGCTGTGTATACCGTAGGAAGCATATGAACAAGTCTTCTATCATTCCATTTTAAAGCTAGCATTTTGCTGTTATGTGCTACAACCTATTCTCCTTTTTCAACTGTACCAAATTGTGGCATTCCTCGTCTTGTAGATTTCACAGTAGCACAGGATCCAGTTTGTTTTTCTAGAAGATAATCTAAAAGAATAGAGCTCGTATACCAATTATTGTCAATATATAAAATATGGTTTTTATTATAACATGGAAGCATCAAGATATTGACATCACCACTGATGCCCAGTATGTCGGTTATTTGAAGATCCGTTTGTGAGTCGGTGTAGACGACTATATTCGGTTACGTTTAGCAGGAATATATTGTTTAAAACTCAGCCGACTCTTGAATAAGATCAAGCTTTCGTCAATTGCTAAATCTTGAAATGGAGAGAAGGTTTCTTCAATTTTTTTAACACTATCTAGCACAGGACGGATTTTATCGAGGTAATCATCTTTATCCAAATTGGTGTTATCTACAAAATGAAGGGCACCTAGTGTCAGTAAAAATGTATCCCGAGAACAAACTTGATTAAAAAATGGGGTAGAAATTATTGGATTTGTTGACCAGTAATCTGACAGGCGTGGTTTCTCAACAATACCTATCAAAATATACAGTGCCAAAAGAGAGTACATTTTCTGTGGACTGAGATTTTGCTATTTAGAATAACTTGGCCTTTACAATAATAAATGGCTTAATAAAAAATGTGAAACAATCTACCTCGGCGCTGGTATGATGCAGAGGTAAATTAGGATTTATACCTGAGTTGTTGCGGTCAAAATCCATTACATTTGGCACAAAATGATCATCAAAAAACCATGAGTCTGTTGAATAACTTTTGGGAATATTTTCCTCTTGAAGATGGGTTTGGATTTTGGCTGGGTGTTGCAGTCTCATCAACAACTGATGTAAAATATATATCATCGTCTGATTCACTTGAATAATTCACTAGATATTCAGATCCCTCTTCGCTTGAGAAATGGTTTTCATTATGACAAATAAATTCACCCTCACTATCTTCACGGCATTTTCTTAGTCCATCCTCCGTCAAAAAGCGTTTCTTATTGATGATAATGCAACTAACAAATGCAGACAAACGAAAAACGATTCAACTACTTCAATATAAAGAATGTAAACTACTGAGTGGCCGCCTCGATCGCGAAGTGCAAAATTTTCCCGATGCCATGAGCATGAGCAACGTGCAACCGATACTTTTCCCGTAGCGAAAGGGTTAAGATTAATTATCTCGAAAAATTAATCTATTCCATAATTTTGCCCCTCACTGTATTATTTACAGCATATAAGACAAAACTTATTTTATCCAATTGTTGTATTCTTAAATAAAATTCTAACATTTTGATTCTACTATAAACTCATTTATTAAACTGAAAATTCTGTATGTATTTGCTATAAAGTCATGTTGGTATTCTTGTTTTACATGGGCAAATGTATTATTCTATTTACTCTACGATATTTATTAGGTATAATAAGGCGATTAATGTTAGCGAGCATGTTCAAAAAATGTACACTATAATCATTCATACCGTCTGGTAAATAATTTATTCAATATGATGTATAGAACAATAACATGAGCCATGTTAATGATAATATTAACCAAAATACAAAAATTACCGTATATTATACGTTAGTTACTGTTACTTTTACACTATTGTACTGTTACACGATAAATAGCTACAACGAGCATAATATCTGCTAAATATTGTATTTATGCGGGATTAAACCACAATTGATTGTAACGAGAATTACATTTTACATTTGTTTTGATTTTTTGATTTCAAATCCGGAAATCGTTCACAAAATT